CAGGGACGCCGCGGGGTGAGTGCGGGGGCCACGCGTGTCCGTGGGGGGGTGTCCACGCGTGCCCGTTGGGGGCCACGCGTGTCCGTGGGGGGGACGCCGTCCCGGGGCTCTTCTTTGGGGACCCGGTGGGACGGGCTGAGGAACCTTTCGCTGCCCCGTCCTCCCTCCGTCCCCACTCGCGGGGGCTGCCCGGTAGGACTCCAACCTCCCCCCCGCCCCCAACACCCCACGAAGGGGCTTCCCAGGGAGGCGGCCGTGCGAGGCCCCCGGGGGTCCGACCCCGAGGAGGGGGGGGGGAGCAGCCTCCGTGGGGCCGGTTTGTCGGTGCGGGGATGCGGCAAGAAGGTGCCGGTTCAGCGGCTGGAAGTGTCCGTGTCTCATCGGGTGGGAAAGAGGCCTCCCCGCCGCGCCGGGGTTTGCAGCGGTGCCGGTCGCTTCTGCTGGTCGGTGCTTGGAACGAGGGGTGGGGGGGTGTGTGTTTTGGGGGGGAGAGCTGGAGGTAGCGAGGGTTGCTCCTGCCGGGCTGGCCCGTGGCTGGGGAACGGGGTGCCCGTGGGAGATTTAGGGGTGCTGCGGGCACCCGTCTCCGCTTTGGGTCCGCGGGATTGGTAGCAAACACGCGGGGAGGGTTTGGGATCTGCAGCTATCCAGAGCGTGTTCCCCCTGATGTTTTTTTCTGTGGGGAGGTGAAGAAACGCATCCTCGCTGCTCCCAGCCTGCCTTTCAACAGGTTAATTATTTCATTAAGGCAAACGTCTGGAATTAGCAGGAGTTAGTTGCTGGGCTCTGCCTACACCGTCTGTCTCGTGTGTCAGCCGCCGGATAGACGTCGGCAGGGCGAACTCTGGAAACTCCTTTGCAAGACCAGGTAAAAGGAAGTGCTGCTGCAACCGCTGCGGCTCGCAGCCATCGCCCTGTGCAGCCGGGGCTGTCTCGGAGCTGCATGGGGGCACAGCGGGCATCGCAGCTCGGAGCCCTGGTGAAATTCGGGTAAACATCTTGCGTGCCAACCCGCACCAGGGCAGCTCAGACAGACAGGCGTGAGAGGAGGAGGAGGAGGAGGATGCTGTGGCTGCCCGCAGGTGCGATGGGCCGTGGCGTGGAGCGAGGTGCCGAGGAGATGCTAGTGCCGCTGCGATGCTCTGAATGTCAGGTCTCCCGTTGCCTTGGCTTTTTTTCTTGCTGCAGGGTGTCTCTGGGTCACGCTCCCGTAGCTGTAGCTGTGCCGGGAGCAGGACAGAGCAGGGCACGGGGCAGGCGTGATGGTGCAGCGAAGCGCAGGCGTCCTGGGGATGCTTCCTGGAAAGTCTGGCTCTGCGGCTGCCCACGAGGCCCTTGAGCCAGCAGTGATGGCAGAGAGGGGGCTTGGGTGCCCTGCACCTTCTGCCTCTCTCTGCGATGCGCTTACCTGTATCTCAGGAGGCAGGCAAGAAGGTATTTTTGCTGTAAACCTTCTTCCGTAGCCTAATTGCTCTTGTCATCTCATTAACCGAGCCAGAAAAGGGTTGTCCTTTTTGGTGGGATATTATGACTCTGAAAAGCTGGGAAGTCAGTTGCTTCAGAGGTAGGGAAGAGCCCCAGAAGTCTCCAACGTGCTTCGCTACGAAATGGCGTAAATTCATAAACAGGATCTGTTAATGAGATCCTGAGGGCCTGATTTGGTGCGATGCTCGGGAAGTTCAAGTTGTCGTTGGATGGCAGATGAGCCCCCATGACTCAGGCGTGGGCATCATCCATGAATCTTAGCTCCCTGTGCCCGGCGCCAGTGTGATGTCCATCACGTTTTCGTAAAGGACGTCCTCTGAAGTGCCTCTTCGCTGCCAGGCCTTCGGGGACTCATCTGCACTTTTAAATGATGCTGATTTTCTGTGAGGTCCCTCTTATTCTCCCCTCTCAGGTTTAGTCTTGTGTCCTTCCTACAGCAAACACAAGTTTGGGTCTGTCATGGAAATATTTATGACTTGGAGTTTATGAAGTGCTGTGTAAATAGTAAATGTTAGTGCAAACTGAGCATTTTTTGGCCCTCCCAGGATTTCTGAGCAGGGGGACCAAATACCACATGCTGATGGAGCTGGAGATGCTGCTTTTATCCTTTTCCTATGGAAAAGTGCAATTCTCAGTGGCTGCAAGGAGACAGACAGGTCATGCCCTGCAGGCAGTGGGATGTGAGGGAACAGGGAGCCTGGCTGGCTGGGGGGAGCACAGTCTGCAGGGCAGAGTTTGGAGCAATTGCAATTTCCTCTGCCCAAAGGTTTTTGCATATCCAAGTGCAATCCGAGGTCAGCTCGCACAGAAGAGTTGAGCTGGTTTGTGGGCTTTCAGCCAAGCCCGTATTAATTAAGGATGGCAGGGGGAACATAGGGAGTCCCGGGGGGTGTCCCGAGGGGCTGGGGGCTCATCCCTGTGCTGCCTGTGCCACCCCTTGGCTCTTTCTCATCCCTCTCGTAAGCAGAAATCTCTGGACTTTTATTAGCAGCAGGAGGAAGAGTTAATTTATGAGGCCTGGTCTGAACGTGTCGGTATGGTTGAAGGTACTTGGGAATCTGCTTTCTGCGTGCTTCCCCCCCGCCCACAAAAATAACCCCACAAAAAAGCAGTAAAATGTGAAGTGCCCACATAACCTTTGCATCGGGGCAATTGTGTTGTTTTAGAACAACCTCTTCTACCGAAGCAGTACGATTTCCCTCTTAGCAAAGCCCTGATACCCATCTCTGAAACGCTGGTGATAAACTCTGAGATCCTGACAACAGGTTGACTTGGTTTCTGCCACCTCTACCTTTGCAGCTGCACCACAACTCTTGCACAACACTTGCCTCGCAGGGCCCCACTCCACTGCAGCTCCTCAGCTCAAAAATAGTATTTCCTCCTTTTCTGCATGAGATCTTTTATTTGTGCAGCCTCCACTTCTGGCACCTGCACGAGTCACCCCTCTTCTACCGGACAAACCACACCAGGTTCAGTTCGCATCCTTTCGGTAACCGCTGCCTCCATCCCTGCCCGTCCACCCCGAGCCGTGGTGCGGGGGCTCTGCCTGGGCAGAGGGATGTGTCCTGCCCGCCCGCGCCTCTCGGTGCTGCTTTCGCTCCCCGTGCGTGGCTGGAAGCGACGGTATGGAGACCCGGTCCGCGGCGGGGATTCTGGGGGGCTCCCCTCCCCGTGGCTCTGCAGCGGGCTCTGCCGCACAAGGTGGGCGGGAGCCGCTGCCAAATTAAAGCGGTGGCAACGTGCACCCACTTCCCGCTGACTCAAAGCGGCCGCTGCTCCTGCGGGGTGACCGAGAGCAACGTTCGGGCTCCCCCACGTCTTGTGCCCACGGGGGGACACAAGCAAAGCCCGTTTACGGGCACCGCGGCTGCCGTGCTCTCCAGTCCGGCTGCTCAAGGGTCGTCGTGCCCCGTGCCCGTGTCGTGGCAGGCTCGGCGCGGCGTTTCTCCCTGCTTCTGCAGAAGGGATTTGGGTGCCCAGGAGATCGGTGTTACAGCCCAGCTCTGCTCCTCTGCAGCTATATGTGGCCGAGGTGATCTCGGAGGTGACCTCCTGGCTCGCCTTGGCTGGCTGGCAGCACTGGGGAGGGTCCGTGCCCGTGTGCCCGTGTCAGACCTGGTGACAGGGCTTGGCCCCGCGGCGATGGGTCATTGTTTTCCCTGCTGACTCGGCATCCTGGCTGCACAGATTTTCTGCTGGAGTTGCAGATTGTTTTCCATTTCCTGGGAGTGTGCTCGGGCTCTCTCTAGCGCACAGTCTGCTTTGGGATTATTTTTTGTCACGGTTCCCAGGGACCCAGTGTCTCGCGTCAAATCCTTTGTGGCTACTTTGTCCTCTCTCGGTGGGCCAAGCTGTGGTATAGGGTTGCCCCACATTGCTGAGCTTGGTGGGATGCGACCGCCGCTGTGACAAGGGCAGTTTGGGGCACAGGGCTGTCACTCGGAATCGGTCTGTCACTGCCCCGGGGACATCCCGGTGGCCGTGGTGCTGCCCTGTGCTACGAGTGGTCTCGGAGCCGGACCGGTGAGCTTTTGTTTGGTGGTGCACGGCGACTGAATCCATCTGCAGGTCCCGGGTTTCCAAAGTCCTGCAGTTCCTTGCTGAGCTGTTTTGGTCCTGCTCGCTGGTCTGATCCTGCCTGCACCTGGGGCCGTCACGCTGGCACCCCTTCTTGTCACAAAGGCGTGCTGGGTGACGTTTGTGTTTTGGCAGCTTCCCCACAGTGCGAACATGCGGCGGTAGCAGTTTGACTTTGCTTTTTTTGTGTTAAGCCATGGGCTGTGGAGGTCTGGGAGAGGCAGCAGGAGGTTTGGGCAGGTTGGGAGATTGGACCTGAAGGAAGCTCGGCCAGTGGCCGTGGGACGTGGTGCGGAGGAGGGAGCTGGATGGGGAGTGAAGCCCCAGCCCCTCCTTTGAGCCTCGTGCTTTTCACACCTTTTGAGCTCCCTGGCTGCGGTGGGGTCGGCGGCTTTCGGGGCTGGGGAGCGATGTGCACCTCTGTGGGGAGGAAGATGTTTATGAAAATGCCTCATTTTTCAGCAAGGGGAAGCAGCTAAAGTGCTCCTTTGGACCAGCCCTGGAAGGTTGTCCCTTCCCTCTCCCTGGTGTGAGCTCGGATGCGGGCTGAGCGACTGCGCTGGCATCCCAGCACGTCTGGCACCGATGGGTTGAGATGGCCGTAGGTGCAGGAGCAGCTCCGTGGGGAGCTGGGGCTGTGGGATCAGAGCACCCACCTCTCCCTGCCTGTCCACTCCTCTGCAGGGTGATGTGAGAAGGAGCCCGGCATGCCGTACTTGGATCGACAGAACCGTATCTGCGGGTTCCTGGACATCGAAGAAAATGAGACCTGCGGCAAGTTTCTGCGGAGATATTTCATCCTGGACACCCAGGCCAACTGCCTCCTGTGGTACATGGACAACCCCCAGGTAGGTTCCCACACTGGTCCCAGCTTCACACTGGGCATGTCTGTGGAAGTTGTTAGCCAGTCTGTGGCACATCCCGGCCTTCCTGGGCCGTCCTGATGGAGGTGCCTCCTCCGGGTCCCCAAAGGAGGACGCTGTCTGCTGCATCGGTTGTCTGTCAGGGTCTCCCGTGGCTGAGTGTGGCCATGACCAAACTCCAGCAGAGCAGCCCCGCTGCCACTTCTGGGGTTTCCAGGACTGTCCCAGCAACACCACCAGGAGCCATTGACACCTTAGAGGAGCCTATAGAAATGCTGTGCCAATGTGAGGTGTTACATCTCCCTAGAGACTTAGTGTAGAGACAGAGGGTTGTCAGACATTGGAATAGGCTGCCCAGGGAAGTGGTTGCATCACCATCCCTGGAGGTATTCAAAAAGCGAGTAGACGGGATACTCCAGAACATGGCTTAGTGGGCATGGATGATGGTTGGACTCGATGATCTTGAAGGTCTTTTCCAACCTAAATGATTCTATGATTCTATAACAAGAAAGAGAAGAGGTTAGACCGGGAGCCGGGCGTCTGGGGGAGATGGAGCCTGTGCATGTTGTGCCCGATGTCTCTGGGAGCTGCCCCAGCGCTTGCGGTCAAGCTCAAAAGAGCAAGAGCCAAAGTTGAGCTCTAGGAAGACCCTCCTGGAAACCCCACGGTGCTTGAGCACTGCTTGTAGGCTGGGGAGGCACCTGCCTTCCTGAAGAGCATCTGGCAGCAGATTCTTCATTGCCTTGTTAAAAGGGGAAGGGGAAGCACCCGGCCACCCGCCTGCACCCTCTTGGCCAGTGTTAGCACAAACTCCTGCTCTCTGGGCCATGCGGGGTGGGAGTCGGAGCCCGTCTTGCACCTGAGGTGCTGCTGCACGGGGCGGTGAGCAGGGCAGGCAGCTCAGAGTGGGACCGAGGAGGTCACGGAGCTCGGGTGCAGCGAGCGTGGCCGGTCCCAGCTGCTTGTAGGGTGCAAGTGCACAGAGAAGGGAAGCGGCCGAGGCTGGCAGCGTGGCTGTAGCTTTTGCTGCCTGACCCCAATGACACCGAGTGACAGCCTGACTCACCTCTTTTGCATTCTCCCTGTCATTTAACTCCCGTCGCTCATTACGTGTTTTGCAGAACCTGGCTATCGGTGCGGGTGCTGTCGGATCTCTGCAGCTGACCTACATCTCCAAGGTAATGTTGGGGTGGGGTGGAGAGAAAATGAATGCTCCCTGTTGTCCCCTTATCCGTGCGGCTTTCCCGGGAGAGGCGATGGCTCACCCCGGCAGCACCCGAGGCGAGGTCCTGCCCGAGCCCACGCTGTCCTCCCTGGGAGAGGAGCCGGAGCGGGTCTGTGGGAAGCGGGGAGTGTCCCTGCGGCGCGGCCGATCCCGGCACCGAGACCGGTGTTCGCCTTCACCCGCAGACCAGCACAGGGCGGGCTGCAAGTTCGGGGTGCAGGAGGAAGAGGAACTGCTCTGCCACGAGGAAGGACACGGGGTGGCCGGGGCTGAGCGGGGACGGGAGCGCGGTGGTGGTGCGAGCAGGACGCGGAGCTGACGATCGGCACGGTGTTGCTGCTCCGGCACTGGACCGAGCAAGGGTTTGGGCTCGTAGTGTGGTGCCCGTCTCGCTTTGGCACTCGGTCCCCATAACCCCAGCACGGTGCCTTCCGCCGCGGGTCCTGCCGCAGCCCCAGGTCTGCGGGAGGGTGCTCATCAGACCCGGCGAAGATGGGGAGGCAGAGACAGTCCCTTTTGTGATGGGTTCGGGGGCACCAGTAGCTCTCCCCTTCTGCTTAGAGGGCAGCACCCTGAAGGATGAGACCTTCTGGAAACTGAGCCTTTTGCGTGTCTTAATGGCATTATCCGGATTCCACGGGAAGGCAAAAATAGTGCAATAAATGACAACTGTTGCAGGGCTGGTGACTGGAGTGCATGGAGTGGTGGCTGCCAGCGCGGCCGGGGAAAGCGGAGCTGCCACCGTCCTTCTGCCATGAGCTGCCCCTCGGCTGCTGCTGGGGGGAACGGGGGGGCTCGTGGCCACCACACCGGGCTCAGCTCCGAATTGGAGCTGGATAAAGAAATGGATGGATCTCTGTTCCTGCTGAATCATGATTTATAAATTAAGCGCAGATGAAGCAACGCTGGGAGGTTGAGCCTTCCCCATTTCGGAAAGAGCCTTACTTCTAAATTATATACGTTTTAGTCTAAATGAAAATTGCCGTAGGACAGCATTTGGTCACAAACTGCAGGATGGGGTTATGCCAGCGGCTTTAACTACCAACGGTAAATATACCAGAAAAATGGAGGTTTGCTTGAGAAAACATATTTAAAGCATTATAGGCTGGCTCCGAAGGAGGAAGCCTGTCAGAATAAATACTCCATGAATGCTGTGCTTGGAGCCCTGGGGAATATTATTCTTATATAAATGATTCCTACTCTTTAGGGAGAAACCACTGCTATTTTCCTTCAATTTTCTTAATTGCTGACAAGAGCGACTGCGTTAGTCCAGCAGAAACTCGCGTTTTCAAGGCCTTTGAAAGCTTTCCGTTCTTTGCTTTACAGTGCAGCCAGCGCCCGGGGGGACAGCGGGAGATGAAAGCCCCGTCTCCGCGCTGACCTTCCCCTGGGACCGCGCGTTCGTTGCCGCATGTGGTCTGCGTTACGCCCGATACGGGCCGGTTCCCGAGAGCTCGCGCGGCTGCGCTGCAGCTCCCGGGCTCGCGCCGTGCGTGTCGTCCCCGTGGGCACGGGATGTGCCGGCATCCCAAGGGACGTGCTGCCCCCCTGGCCCAGCGTCTGTGCTGCTGGGGGTCCTGCCCGGCCAGTCCCAAAAAGCCTGGGGTGGCACTCAGCACGGGGAAGACGTGCCCGCCGGCCACGTTCATTTTTCCCCTGACTTGAGCCGGCTGGCTCCCCTCCTCGTTTGCAGATGGGGGTAATTGCAGGGCTGGGGAGGGCAGACGATGCGTCCCCTCGGGCCGGCCAGCGTGACAAGGCTGCGGCCGCACGCTCGCTCCTCGGCCCCGTGCTCACGCTGCAGCATCGGTGCTCGACTTGGGGGCTCGGAGGAACTGGGAGCGCGGACTGGGTTGGAGCTTGGGGAACACTGGCTTCCTCTCTGCCACGGGCATGTGGATGGAAACTTCCAGCTCTCGTGCATGCCATTAGCACGTGCTGTTATCTTGAACTTTTTCTTTAATTTGCTCTGTTGCAGGTTAGCATCGCCACCCCGAAACAGAAGCCGAAAACTCCGTTCTGCTTTGGTGAGTGAGGGGGACCATGCCCAGCACGTCGTGCCAGAGGGCCGGCGCAGGGCTAGCGTGAGCCACAGCCCCGTGTGGTGGTCCTGTCACTGTGACCCCCAACACGAGATGCACGGGCAGAGCTTGGTGAGGGAGGCAGGACACTGTGGGTCCCCTCCGTGATGGTCCCCTGCTTTTGCTGTGCTCCTGAATCCTTTCCACGTGTCCTGTTGTGCTGCACTACCTTGTGCGATACAGGTGGTTTTTTTTCCTTTTTAATGCCTGCATAAGCTTCTGCTCCTTTTGGTGCAAGGAAGGGGTGTTTCGTATCGAATTCCCCCCCACCCAAATGGCCTCAGCCCAACACGGTCAGCCTCAGTGCCTCCTGTGTGAGCCATGAACTCAGGTTTAGAGCAACAGAAATGACAACACAAGCACATACTTGTCCCAGGGGAATGGTGTTGCCTTTGCAATATTTTACTACAACGGATGTAGCCCAAGACAAAGACTGGAGCGCACGGTGCAGCCCCATGCGGGGGGCTCGCACCAGCATTTCGGATGAGAGTTAAAACCCAAGCGCTGGGCGAAGGAAGTCCCAAGGGGCCCTCAAGCGCCCCATGCAAAGGGCTAACTTCAGCACTAGATTAAGTCCTAGTTTGGGCCATGCCACAGCCTTGGTTTAAGCCTGACTTCAGCCCTGCCCTCCCTACGCTCTGGTGCAAGGATGCATCCAGCTGACCAGCTGCCACGTCCCTCCTCCACGCCCCTCGGCCGCTTTTCCATGCGAGAGGTTACGAGACCGCTATCTGCAAATCGCTCTGGGACTGGGAGCTGAGGGATGCTGTCGTGTTGATTTATTGTTTAATTTATTTTAATAATGCTAAGCAACTGTTCCCTAACTCTTCTTTTCATTCCCTTCTTTGATAGTTATCAATGCTTTATCTCAGCGCTATTTCTTACAAGCCAGCGATCAGAAGGACCTGCAGGACTGGGTGGAGGCACTGAACCGGGCCAGTAAGATCACGGTAGGTTGCATTATGCTCATCTCTGGTATTACTGTGTCCTGCCTTGATGGGCCACTCGATAAGCATCTAGAAGAGCTGTGCTTTTCCTTCTTGCTGTGCTCTCCTCCTCCGTCGCCTTCCCGGTCCCACCTGAGGAGCAGCGATGGTGGCGGCTGGGTTGTCCCCAACCTGGGAACAGGTCTGTGCCAAACTTGCCTGGCTTTCTTCTGGGTTAGTGCTGAGGCTGCACTGGGGAAGGAGGGAAGCGCAGCTCTTGGCTGGTGGCTGCAGTGTCTCCTCCTATTTCTGGAGCCTGCTCTGCTTCTGGTGCATCCCTTGTTTTGCTGTTTGATCAGTTATAGTACAGGGCTGTAGCTCCCAAAACCCCCTCGTTCGCAGGAGAGTGTGCCGTGGTCCCCCGGACAGCTCTGCGAGAGCAGAGCTCTTACACGGACACCCCGGGGGCTGTGTGCGGTTCTGCCAGCACGTGGGGCCGAGCTGGTTTGGATCTGAGGGAGAAATGCTGCGAGCAGAGGAGGGACGTGCTGGCGATGCAGCCTTTTAGCCTGCAGGGCTGGACGGCTTCGCCGTGTCCCTTCGCAAGGCCAGAGCTGCGTGGTGACCCATCTCAGGAGTCTGGCTTTGGACGGGAGACATTCCCTCCACCATCACCAGGGATCCTCCTGGCCTGGGTTTATTTTGCTGCTGTTTGCTCATGCGTCTTCACCCTCCCTGCCCAGCTGCTGCGGGGGACGGCGGCTGCACCCTGGGGAAGCTCCTGCGGGAGCCGTCCCCATCCCTGCCTGCTCCGGGGACGTTTCCCTCCTGTCACTCCTGCTGGCTGGGATTGTGTGTAACCGACCAACTCCTCGCCGCGGCTGTCAAAGGGCGTCTTTCTTCTGCTTCGATAATTTATTTACTCAATTTTTATTCTTCCTGGAACGCCGGGTCTTGTGACGAGGCGTAGCAAATGCCCCGCACTGCAGGGCATCGCGGGGCGGGTTGCGCCTGGATCCGAAGGAGTTTGTCTGCCATCTCCTCTCATTTACTGTTGTGTTCATATAACCGTAAATTAATGGTCGCTGACCCAGAAACCCACGAAGTCTATGCTCCTCAGCTGCCCGGCGCTCCTGGCGATGAGCGATGGTGCTGCGCTCCCTCTCTCGTGCGGTGGAGCAGGAGCATCGCCTGTGCGCTGGGTGGCAGTGCCCGTGTGCCGGGGCTCCTGCGTTAGGTGCTCGCAAGACGGCTTCTTTCTGGCCCCGGGATGTGGGGGATCCCTGTGAAAGGGTCAGGGGCACTGCAGGCTTCTGTGTGCCTGGCGTTAGCAGTATGGCTGATGTTTAATGCTAGCAGGGTTTTACTAGGTCATGCGCTGATGCGTGTTGTTCATGGTTTGTAAACTAAATATAAGGAAAAATCATGATGAACAGTTTAGGAATGGATCCTATCAAATAACCTTTTTTCCTTGAATTTTTTGTTTCAAAATCACTGGAGTGCTGTGTTGTGTCTGTGGGAAACTCATCTACAAGACCAGACCTGGCTTGTATTTTCTTTTTATATCTGCAAATACATTAAATGCAACAACCTCTGTGCCTGAAGCCACCAAACTGACTGCACAGGCTCTGGCTTGTACCTTCTCTTTTATGGGTTCAGGTGATATTGGCCACAAAAAAAACACCTCCAAAACCAGGTAGGAGTTGTAACCAGAGCCCGCCAGTGACATTTGTCTAGCTGTGCCACCAGGGTAGTTTCCTCCAGGGTAACTGCCTGCAGGCAGCCCGCATAGCTGATGTGCCAGGCTGGCTGAGGTGGGAGCTGGTGCGGCGGTAGGAAGAGATGCATCCTCTGTTTCTGCAATAAACCGCGGTGATTTTCATACCCTGATGTTGGCCAGCCCTTCCCGACTCTGGCTGTGTCCCGGCCGGCCAACCGGCTCATCCAGCGCTGCAGGGAGGAGTTCTCGCAGGCTGGCTGGGAAACACGGGGCTACCGGGATGCGGGTGACACGGCCGCTCTGCCCTGCGTGGGAAATCCCTCTCCCTGCTCTGCAGCTTCCCACAGGTCTCCATTTGTGCCTGGGTGTCCTTGGGCTGCTCTGACTTGCAGCAGCTTCATCACCTTGGTGTGGGTGGAGGGGCACAGAAGGGCATGGGGAGACGTTCTGGCATTTGGTGGGGTTTGGACCCTTACCGGCCTCTGGTCTCTGAGAGGTTTCCCTCTTCCCCTGGGCTCTGCAGGGCTGCTGGGCTCTTGGATGTGGGATGCGTGGCACCAACCATGGTCCTGTGTGCTGTGTGTTCGGTGCACGCTGCTGCCGTCTGAGCCACTCGCTGCGGTGGGACGGGAAGGATGGGGCAGCGGTTCGGGTATTGCTCTTGGTGCAGAGAGCTTCTCACGGAGACTTCTCTGCTCTTGGCAAATCGCTTCCTGCGTTTCTTCACCTTGCACGCCGTCTTTGTAGCCAGGGCCTTGGCGGTTGAAGGCTTGAGGTGTGCAGCGGGCTGGTGTGACCACGACAAGGGATTCCGCTCAGTTCTGCACGAGGAGGCTCGAGCTGGTGGCAACGCTCTGCCCCGTGCCGGGCACCGAGCAGCACCTTCCCCCTTGCATCGCTGCCCGCAGAGAGATGCAGCCCCTTCCCTCTGCCCCTGCCCCCTGCACACGCAATGTCTCCGCATCGGCGTTGTGAAACCGTTTCCTCTGGCCGGGTGGCCCGTGCTGGCTCCCCAACCTCGCCGTGCACCCGCCTCGTGCTCGCCTGCCTTGCTGGCGCGGGCAGCCGGTGCGTTGCCAGTGCCCGCGGGCGCTGGTGCTCAGCACTGGCCGTGCGGCACGGGCGTCCAGCAGCCTGCCGTGGTCTGGCCGCTCTCGCTCTCGCGGCGGCAGCGTTTCTGAAGCGGGATGCGATGGCACCCGAACGTGTCGCTGCTGCCTGCTCCCTGCCCGGCACTGCCTGCCCCATCAGCTGAGCCTGGCTGGTGGAGAGCACCCAGGAGGCACAGGCAGCGGGGCTGTGGGATAACCGGGATCTCGTCCTTGGCCCTTCCTCCTCTCCTCCCTATGGGTTTGTGAGGTCTTAGCGCAGACCTCTGCCCCGCAAGACTTAAGCCAGGTCTCAGGTTGAACACCAGTCCAGCCACCTGCTTCGGGAAGGACTTTAGAGCAGCTGAGAGTTCTGCTCTGCCCAGCCAGCAGCCGATGCATGGTGCGGTTTGCACGGAGAGGACTGCGTGTCCCTCCCCGCGCGCTTCGGGGTGGAAGGCAGGAGGGTGGGTTGGAGCCAGAGACCCCGATTAATGGCATTAGAGAAGTGGAAGTGCAGACTTGGGAAGGAAAACTTGAAAACCCGCCTTTCTGTCCAGAGCCAGGTGCTGGAGGGAAGGAGCTGGGAGGGGGGAAAAGGAGGATTCTGGAGCTGGGTCCCTGCAGCGTAGCCTCTGCCCGGTGATGCGGAGCTGCTCGCAGCGGAGACGCGACCTGCCCGGCCGCGCGTCGGTGCAGGACATGCAGGCGTTCGGCGTGTAAACTAGCGCCCGGCCATCTGCTGCGCCCCTGCGGACGTGCTGCAGCTCAGCCTCGTTAGGCAGATGAAAGCTCATCATTAAGCCTAGCTGTAAGTAGAGCGGGGACAATTAAAGGAGCAAGTGTCCCACAAACGCATTGGGCTGCAGAGGCGAGTCACAGACTCATGTGAGTTGATGCTTAATTATTCACCACCTCTCATCTCCCATCTCAGTGCCTCCTGCAAACCGCCTGGGTGGGGCCCACACCCTCCTTAATTGGGGTGGCTCGTTCATTTATTATTTTTTAAAGGGACATTGCTGCATTTAGGCTGGGAGGACAGAGGCGATGGTGCCCCCGTGCAGGCGTAGGGCTGCCCGGCACGGTCGCGCCAGTGCCCTTCACCCCTTTCTTTCTCCCGTAGGTGCCAAAGGGCGGCAGCATCCCACCGGCCGCGGAGATTGCGAAGCCTCCAGTGGTGCCCCAGGCCCAGGAGAGAAAGCCCCAGGTGGCCTACAAAACCGAGATCATTGGGGGGGTGGTGGTCCACACGCCCATCTCTATCAACCAGGTGAGCTGGCAGGATCCGCACACCGGGGAAAATCCCCGCGACGTTGGCACCCCGCTTTGGTCTCTCTTTTCGCCGTGTTTTAAGAGCAGCTCCTAATGGGGATAAGCAGAAAAGGTGGCAGCTTTCTCCGTGCGTAGCTGGGCGAGGGCATCCCCACCACACCCCGCTTTGATGTTCCTGCACCTCGCTGCCAGGAGCCCTTCGGCGCTTGAGCCGGGCTTTGAGGGGTCCCTGCCTGCTGGTTTTTGTGTCTGGCTCCTGCCAGCAAGGCTGTGCTGCCTTCTGAGTCAAGCGGAGTGAGGGTGGCTGGGTCTGCAAATCGCTTTTTGCAAATGGTATTCAGATTTCTGCTTTAGGAAGGGTGAGCGCAGGGAAAGCGAGTGTCGGAGCGTTGTTACTGCTTTAGCCCCACCAGTGTTGAGCAGTGCAAAGGGTAGAGAAATACTGTTAATACACAGCAGCGATGGGGTCTGTCATTCTCTAACCCGCGTGTCGGAGCAGCAGAGCTCGTGGATGTGGGTCTGCTGGGCTGGGGCATGTGGTCCGGGGGTCCGGGGAAGCTCTGGGGGTCCGGGAATGTCCAGCCATGGGGCTGGAGGCAGTTGCTGGTTTGGGCTGTTGGGGAGGCTGGTTTGCACTTTCATTTCTGGAAACCAGCTTGGTGCCTGCAAACCGTTCCCACTCAGGGATGTATAAATAGCTGCACTTAGCACCCTGTAGCACCTCTCCTTTGTCTAGCTCTGAAGTGTGATGAGACAAGGGGGTGTGAGGAGGAGGAGGGTATGAATCCGGTCCCCTTCCCGGCCATTCCGCACCATCCACCCGCATGTCCTGGGTCCAAATCCCCCATCGAGGTGCCCGGGGCAGAGGGACCCCGTGTTGCTGCCCCCATCAAAGCGGCCAAAGGGACTGACCCATCCCGGAGGCGGTAGCCGGCCCCACTTGCCGTGGCTCTGCAGCCCCTTCCCTCGGCACGTGGCCGGGTGTGCACGTGGCCATCGGTGTCTCCCACTTTCGGGCGCTCATCCGGCTCTGGGTCTCACTTCAGCTCTTATCGGTGGCAGCACTAAAAATAGAGCAGAGAATTAGATCATTGGAGCCTTTTTTTTGTGTGCGTGCTGTCAGGCAATTTTAGCGCTTTCCTGGCCACGGGGTTTGTTGGGGTGCGGAGGTGTGCGAGGTCCTTCGGGCTGACAGCCGTCCCTTCCCAGTGCCGCTGCCCCGTGGGATGCTGCTGGACCCTCAGCCCCCTGCGTGGGGTGGGGAAGGGCAGGGAAGGGAGGGCTGTGCCTCCCCCCTTGCTTCCATGCAGCTGGGGCAGCCTGTTTGCAAAGAAGTGGCAGCAGCCAGCCCTGTGACTTTTCTTTTTTGTTTCGGTGAGTTAAAGCTGCTCTTTCCTCCTGACTCTTGACTCTGCCTCCCTCTCCTCCCCTGCCACCACCTCCCGAGAGCCGGGAGCTCCATCCTCAGCCCTCGTGCAATTTCTTTCTTTCACTGAGGGGTTTTTTAGAGGCGGTGCATCAGCTGCTGGACCATTTTCCGTGCTCTTGCAGCTTGCCCCGTGTGAAATGGCTATTTTTCCGCTGCAGCTTCCTGGGTGCGTCCGTGGTTTCCTGGCTCTGCCCTGGCCGGCCGGTGCTGCCCCGCAGCGGCTCTGGGACCGCAGGGGGAAGACCCACGCTCCGGCTGCACCCCCAGAGTGGCCAGCAGCATCACCCCGGCTCCCAGGTGTAACGCTGCCCATTGCAGCAGCATCCCCATCTCTGGTTTTGGACATGTAACATCTGTAACGCAGATGCATCCCCAGGCGAGGGGAGCGGGCAGCCTCCCCTTCCCGGCTGGGCTGGAGCTCTGCTCCACTGCTCTCCAGAGGTTCTGGGTGGCATTTTGGGGCCAGCCAAATGGCTGCTCGTCTCTGTCCTGGAGAAACCGAAGCAGCCTCTTGAAGGTGCTGGAAGGAGCAGCGCAAGCAGGTTGCTGGTTAACCACACCGGCAGTCACACCGGCGCGGGTGCCAAATAAGGCTGGCAGCACCGAGAGCCACCCTGGCTGCCATGGCAATTCTCAAACCTCAGCGCGGGGCTGGAGGAAGGGGTTGGAGGGACGGGGGAAGGAGATGAGCACAGATGTTTCATCTCAACCATCCTCGGCGCTGCCGAGGGGGAAGGGAGAAGGGAGGGTGCTGCCCGGGGACGGAGCGGGGTGCGGAGGAGGGAGGGGGTGATGCCGGCAGCGGGGAAGGCTCTGGCCCTCGGGATGCGCTTGGGAAGCGCTGGGAGTGAGCCAGGGGATGGGTGCTGGGCGCACGGCCACGTGCGCAGCCCATCGGTGCTCGCAGCAGCGAGTGTTGCGTTTGGGGAGAGACAGCTCGGGGCCAGAGGAAGCACGGGTTTTCCACCTGAACTCCAAACATCACAGTTTCTTTTGGGAGAATTTGGCTGTGAAAACGTGGAGTGGAGACTTTACAGCTTTCCTGACCAGTTTATTCCCATGATATATTGCCTTCTCCAGTTGGAAAGCGTGCCTGCCTTCTAACTTGGGTTTGTCTGGCTCCAGCTTCCAGCTGGTGGTTTTTGTTCTGCGTCCCTCTGCCAGGCGAAAGAGCTCCTTGTGCCTTGCGCTTACTCCAGAGAAGGTCTGTGGTGCAGTTGAGTCAGCTCTTGGTGTTTGATAAGCCGGGCAGATGAGGTTCTTTAACTTCCCTGCTGCAAGGGATTTTCTTCAGCCCTCAGATTGCTTTTTCTGTAGCCTTTCTAATTTCTTAACGTTGTTTTTAATGTGTGGGTGCCAAAAACGTGGCTAGCAGTCAGGCAGCAGTCTGAAAAGCTGAATGCAACGAGATAAAATCAGCTCTCGACTCTGATTCATCCCCCTGCTTGTGTCCAGGCATTGCAATTAGCCCTTGGCATGCAGCGCCATGCTCAGGGCCGGCTTCGGGTTGCTTTTCCCTCCAGCTCAAGGTGTCCTGCCTTCTAGCAGGGAATTCCCCCCACCCTTCTCTCTCCCGGCTCCCCAGTAACTCCGTGCTCTCTGCTTCCAGAACGGAGGGGACGGAGGGGAGAGCAGCGATGTGGCCGCCCACCCGCTCCTGCGGCGCTCGCAGAGCTACATCCCCACCTCGGCCACCAAGCCGCCCGCCGGGCCCCCCATCCTCAAGAGCGGCTACTGCGTGAAGCAGGGGAACGTGGTGAGTACCGGGGGTCCCCTGCGCCGTGGACAGCAGGGCAGCTCAGCGGGGTGCGTGGCCGTGGGCTGCCTGCTGCCCCGTGGGTTGGGGATGCTCCAGGGATGCTCTGGATGCAGGACCACGACAGCGTGGGGAGAGCGCCGGAGCCCAGCACCGAGCTGTTTCCTCCTCTTTTTTCCAGAGGAAGAGCTGGAAGCGCCGGTACTTTGTTCTGGATGAATTTTCCATCAGTTACTACAAGTGTGAGCAGGTGAGCGGCCCCTGCCGCCCCCCCGGCCCCCGCCTGGGACCGACTGCTCCCGAGCAGAGGTCCAGAGCTGCTGCGCTGCCGTGCCGGCATGGGAAGCACATCCCAGCGCTGGCAGCCCCAGGGGCCGGCCAAGCCCATCGTCGTCTCCTCTCATCTCCGCAGGACAAGGAACCCTTGCGCTCGATTCTCCTGAAGGATGTCTGCAAGACCCACGAGTGCCTGGTCAAGTCTGGGTAATGCTCCCATCCGTGTTTCCCTGAACTGCAGCTCCTGCTGTAGCCCCAGGTTGTGCTGGGGCCGGAGCAGCTAACGGGAGCTCCGGCTGCTCCGGCTGCTGGTGGGAAGCAGCTCCCCGAGGAGCTGAACCGGAGGAAGGCAGGAAGGAAACTCAGTTCCTCCTTCGGGGAGCCCAGAGGGCCCCGAAAAGCAGTGGCTGCTGCTGCCGGCCAGGCTGAGCTGTGCTGCCGCTCGCTTTTCTTTTACGACCCTGTAACCCAAATGTCTCCTCTTTGTTTTGCTTTTAAGAAATTTCTTCCCCTTCAGCTCCGTGAGCAGGTTGGGGAAATATGGCTGGATGCAGGATATTGTCCATCCTCTGTTCTCCTGGTGCTGATAGCTATCTCTGTTGGGCAGGCATGCTCCTACAGCTCTCTTATCTCCCTAGATGAAGGAGTGTGGGGCCCTGCACAGTAAATAGCATCGTATGACAGAAGAACAAAGGTGTTCATAAAGCTGCTGAAAGCCGCATATAGGTGTTTTCCTTAAACTAGCACAGGTGGCTACACAGTGTCTTGGGAACAATTTATTGCAGCGAATGCTGATAAAATCAAAGTAACTCGAAGACTTGCAATGAAAAATGAACTAAGAAAACAAACCTCTTTAGCTAAAGTAAAAATATTATTTATTAATATATCTTTGAATTGTTTATTCTTAATAAGTAATAGAAAGCTCATGAACTGTAAATGAGATGGATTACGGGTCTGGGGAGGGGCCGGGATTTGCCTGCAGATGGCAGAAGCTGGAGTGTGTGTGTGTAGCTGAAGGTCTCTGGGGAGCTGGAGTCATCTTCTTAAAATCCCGATGAGATCCAAGGTTTGCCTTCAATATGTTTTTCACCAGCATAGTCTAGAGATGAGGATAAACACAGATTTTTTTTTTTTTTCCTCCATCCACGATGACTTCTGGGTAGTGACCATCTTTTTCTCGCTGTTTCTAGTGACCTCCTGATGCGGGACAACCTCTTTGAAATCATAACGAGCTCCAGGACCTTCTACATCCAGGTGAGGCAGCCGAGGCCGGTTTGCTTTTCTGGGCAGTGAGTTCAGCTCGTGCGAGCCACTCTCCTGCAAACGGGCTGTTCCCCAGCAGCCTCTCGGCCAGCAAACGCGAGCAGATGAGTTTGTAACAGCTTTGCCTGGCGTCGGGGCACGGGCGGCAAGGGAGAACTGCCGGGCGGTTTCACTTCTGCCCTTGGGTTTATTTATAATAGCCGCTATTTGTGTGAGCAGGAAAAAGCAGAGACAAAAGCACAGGGCGATCCGACGAGTATCCCGAGTACGTGGGGCTGTGTCTGCACCTTCCCTGTCCTGCAGATTTGGCCAGCCCTCTCCGCAGCGTGCAGGGGTATTAATTAATTCTCCCTGTTGCGGCTGAGCTGGGCAGGAGGAGGCAGCAGGCAGGGGATGCCGTGCACGGGGCTGTCGGCACGACCCCTCAGCACTTGTGAGTCCCCGAAGAGTAGCCAGCACGGCATGCCGTGCTGTGGATGCTCATCCCCACGTGCACGGGCAAAAGCCCCAAATCCTGATGCCCAGAGAGCACGGCCCCGGGCACGCTCGTGGTGGGGTGCAGACCCCCGAGCCTCTGCCGCTGCAATCCCGACAATTTTTTTATTCCTTAAATGCTTTATCTATTCCTGATACAAAAATGCTGCAATGTGGAGAGTGGCTCCCCTTCTGCGGGGGATGATAGGGTGGTGCAGTGATTTTTAAGGAAGGATAAGTTAGTAGCAAATATCCTGGGAACGCTGGTAGCCTGTCCATCTGCGTGTCCACGCTTTGCTGTGGCGGGGATCAACTCTGGCTGCACCAGGGGCTTGCAGAAGGCAAAGTCTGATTTGGGCTGGTGTGTTTTGCAGGCAGACAGCCCTGAGGACATGCACAGCTGGATCCGAGTAATCACAGGGGCAGTCCAGGCCTTGAAAACTCGCCCGAGGGTAGGTCACGTCCTTTCTGCTTCATATATAGTGTCAAATGAAGATTATGCCAATGTACAAGGTATTTATTTAGTGGCTTGTGTAAGCACTCAGCTAGCCCGTTTCCAGGATGAGATCCCTGCCCTCTCTGAGTTTGTTTACCAGTCGCTGGAAAAGTTTCCCTGAAAAGATTGAAAAGTGAGATTCAGCCATCGAACTGGACCTGCGTGAACCCTGCTCTGCTCCGAGGCACAAGCGAGAGCCTGACTGATGGCAAAGGGCCATTTAATTCAGACTTTCAGTTTGCTTAGGGGTTTTTTGTTTTTTTTTTTTTCCTTTCTGCAGAGCCTGGTCCCCAGAGCTTTGCAAAATTGCTCGCAGCATTGCATGCACGAAACCCCAACCTCAGCCAGCGCTCACCCTGTGTCTGTCCTTGCAGGAAATGTCCTTCATGAGATCCACCTCCATGGTGAAGTCCGGGGGCTCCTCTGCTCTCTCCCAGCAGAGGCAAGTGGCAGAGGAGAGGAGAGCGCTGTGCAAAACCCCTTCCACCTCCTCCTGGCAGCCCTGGACGCCGGTTCCGCAGGCAGCGGGGAAGCAACCGGTGCCGGAGGAGGTGCCCGCGCCGCTGAGAGACTCGGTGTTCGTGCCGGCCTTCACGGAGCGCGACGCCGGCGCCGTGCTGGGCAAACGCGTGCGGCACAAGTCGGAGCCGCAGCATCTCAAGGAGAAGCCGTTCGCCTTCGACCTGGACGATGAAAGCATCCGGACCTCCGACGTCTGACCGGGCACCGAGCCATCCCCCGGCTCCGTGTGCCACCTTCCCGGCTGCTGGGGGTCCCCGCGGGGCGCACCGTGTCCGGGACGGCTGGTCTCCGTGTGTCCGCTCAGCGCCTCGGACCGAGCTCACCCCGTCATCTCGTCAGGGGTGAGGTGGCCCCTTCCCTCCACCGCTGCTCTTCCCTGCGATACAGGATCCGGCTGGACCCGCGTCCCGGTGCCTTGCTCTGCTGGGAAGCGGAGTCCCTGCCCCGCTCCTGCCTGCGTTTTTGCCCCAGGCGGCTCCGTGTTTTGGGAGCTGCCCCCGGACAGGGCGACCTGCAGGCACCTCGTGCTGCCATCGCTCGCCGTGCGGGGTGGGAAGCGCTGGTTCCTGGCACGGCTTGGATGAGGGGGCATCCTCCTCTGCAGCCACATAATTTGCCCCCAAAACCAAGCCTGGAGGAAGCGGCAGGAGGTCTCGGAGGCCTGAAGGGGAGCGTGGCCTTTCCTGTGTTTGGAAAAACATTTTTCTCCCCTTTCACGCTGCTCAGCCTTTCCCCAGCAGCTGGGCAGAGCCGGGGAGACGCCAGCCCTCAGCTGCCTATACAAGGGACACGCTGCAACTTCCCGTTTTGATGACTTTTTCCCTAGGAAACCAGCTCTTTACACTGCCTGACTAATGGCGTATCAACAAATCTGTTGGCTTTTAATCATGTCTTTTTATACCTGTAGCCACTGTTAAACCCCGGCACTGGCAGGCTCCCCGCTCAGCCCCTCCGAAAAGTTTATTGGTACTTTCTGAGCATGAGCCTGGGCAGGCAGCCGGTGCGACGGTGGCTCCCAGGGACGGGAGGATCCTCAGGTACGGTGTTGGTTTTGCACTGTGTACATCTGGGCACCAGAAAGCCGTGCCCGGGTGGTGACGTGCTTTTAGCAAAAAGCAGTGAAAGCCGAGCATTAAATGAAACTGGGAAGACTTGTCCAGCCAACTTGCCTGCTGCCTGCCTTGAAATGAAAATGAGTGGAAGTTTTTAGAGCAACGAGAACTCGTCATTTCCATAACCAAATAAGCTCCTGTAGGAGTTGTGATAAATAGCGCGTAGAAAATTCAGGTATTCCCTAGGCAGTGAGATCATCTGATATCTTCACCCCGAAATGTGTGTGTAATCCTTGGGTACTGAGTGAGGACACACCTCCCCGTCCTTGCTCGCTGTCAGCAGCAGGTTATGTTGGTGTGACTTTGTGAGAGCAGCAGCAAGCCCATCCAGGCGTCGGTGCTGCTTCACCCTTCGTTTGAGGGCTCTTACGCAGACCCAAGGTGGCAGAGTGAGGAGCGTTGGCTGGGGCGGTGTCCGTGCACCATGGAAAGCAGCACGTGTTTGGGTAGGAAAGCTTTCATCCGGAATTGTGTTAAGCTGAAACAAGAGCAAGCGATGGCATCCCTGGCATTGAGCTGCTGCGCTCTGCCGGCATCCCCGGCTGCAGTGCCCTGCGGGCAGGAGGCAGCAGCCTGGGCAGCAGCAGCAGTGCCCTGGCTGGGCACCGCAGCCCCGGGCAAGGCTGCCCGGGGCTGCCCGGGGCTCTGCTGATGGGCACGTGGGTTTTTAAATGGGCTTGCTTTGGCCCAGCTGCACTGGTGTGTCCCGTGTCAGATACAGGCACGCTCTTTGCCATCTCAGATGTACTCCAGCTGATAAATCTGGGTGGCTGGTGTGGGAATGGCATTGCAAGCTTAGCAGCGCATGGAGTGGTCTGGAGTTAACAAGGCTTCTCTCTATTGAGGACTAGTTACTTGTTCTTTTTCTTCTTTTTTTTTTTCTTCCTTTTTTTTTTTTGGCATTACATGTTCCTGCTCTGCAAAATCAGCTCAACGTGCTCCCCAGGAGCAAAAAATATCTGGTTTGTCCCTGCCCTTTCCAGCTCTCCAGCTGTTTGACAGCTGTGCTTCAGCTAGCTCAGGCTCAGCCTGGGATCGAGCAGAGCTTTATCGATTGAGCTCCAAGGCGTTGATTAGCCCAATGGATCTTAACAAGATTAAAATTGCATCTTCCTGCATTGATCTCCTCCTGTGTCAGAGGGGCTGCTCCTCCAGCTGGGCTCCGCTGGAGCCCGGGGCAGGCGCAGCCGGAGGGGCCTCAGTGCAACCGGGGGGAGGCGGTGACGGGACCTCCCAGGTTTGGGGCTAAGAGTGGCTTCAAGGGGGATGTGTGGAGATGCTGGGGAACACTGAAACTATGAAAATGAGTGGGAATCAATGCAAACGGTACAGGGCGAGTGTTAATATTTGTTATTTAAGTGTAGAAACCTAGATCATGCTGTTCCTTTTCCTTCTTTTTGCTTTATTTGCACTAGTGTTTGAAATTTTTTTTTTTTTTTTAAGGCTGACTTGCTGTTTGGCTCATAACATGGGGTTTCAAAAATGTTTTAATAGTTCAGTAAGCCTATCAATCATAGAGTCACTGTATTTGGTGATAGCGCTCTGACCTCATTTCTGAAGAACATCAAATGCAGAGAGACAATGGTTACTTCATGCAAGGCTTCAAACCCATGGAGTACCAAGTATTTTTGTTGCTTGATAATTGCAGTTTCCTCAGGCCTGGGATGGTAAAGCAGAAGCTGGTTGCACAATTAGGGTTAATCATCCAGGAGGAGAAACTACGAGTGGCTCCAGCGCTGTTGCAACATTCCTGTTTCTCATTCCCACCCTCCCCGCATCCCCAGGACAGCGTAAAGGCTGAATGTGACACTGAAACAAGTGTGTTCAAAGTCAAGCTGGGCTCCAGACCCATCCGTGATGCAGGTGGTGTTGCGGGGAGGAATTTCTCTCCCATCCCAAAGGACCAGGTGGATGCAGCCAGACCTCGATGGAACTTTGCAGCAATTTTTAAAGCAAACTGGTATCCCCTTATCTCTGCGTTTGCCGCCTGGCTCTCCCGCGTGGGGATGAACGATCCCCCGTAGCTGCTTGCTTTTGAGAATGAAGCGTGTGCTGCGAGCTTCCCCGCTTTCCTAGGGATGCGTGCAGGTTCGAGGTATCTTGTGCGGAAAGAATGGTGCGAGAGATGGGTTTGCTCTTTTCTATGGAAACTCCCAAGCGGTTTCAGCCGTTTCTGTGAGTGCTGGCTACGGATTTCAAGTGCTCTTAGGGCCGGGGTGCCTCGCGCGGGCGATGCTCCCTGACTCCCATGGTGTCGGTTACCTGCCTCCCACCCCTCGCCTGTAAATGCTGGCTGCAGGAGATGGAACCCCTTTTCCCCTGTGTTTTTAAATAAAGAAGGAAATCCCAGTTGCTTTCCCAGGCTGTCTGTTTGCATGGTGTATTTTGGGTAATGATTGCCAGGGAGGGTTGAACGCCGTCCCCACCAAGGCTGGGAGACAGGGCACAGCGGCTAGGGGGGGACCATGGGGGCCACTGCCAGGTGCTCCCCCCACATGCAAGGGGAGCAGCTATCGTGTGCTGGGGGAGCTTTTAGAGATGCTGCACTGAGCTGCCAAAGCCCAGCCTGGTGTCTCTTGTGCCACACTTAACGGATGGAGCCCCTCGGAGGCCCCCGCTGCCGAGCTGCAGCCAGCTGGGCTGCCCACCCCACTGTGCCCCACCGGACACCCTGGCCCCCCCCAGCCAGCTTCAGCGGGAAAGAGCACCGAGGGGAGGGCCAAGGGCCATTGTGGCCTGTGCTTTGAAGAAGTTTTTGATCTTGTTTGTCACTGCTAGAAAAAGAGGGGACAGAGACTAACGGGGCGAGAAGCATCCCTTGCTTCCAGGGTATGTGTTTGGTAAGGAACATGACTGCTTGGAGCAGAAATCATCCGTCTCCAGGCGGTGTGCATCCTCCCAGCCCGAGGTGCAAGTTGAATTTCATTGCTGACAATGTTAAGACAGCTCCAGCTATTGCTCATCTTGAGCCCTTCGATAGCTAAGTGTGTCCCAATAAAACTCTTGGTTTAAACACTTTGTTACTTTTTTTTTTTGCTTTCAGTGTCATATTTTCCAGTGACAACTGGCTGAGCACACTTCTTGTGTGAAGTGAGCACAGATGCTGCTGCCCTGCACACAGGTCGGTTCTGGGTATGAGAGAGGGTGAGTGCACGGCGGTGGCAGGGAAGTCACAACTATCTTTGCCTTTCTGGATATGCGGGCCGGAGAAAAGCTGTTGGACCAATACCCTGGTTTTCCTCAGTGTAGTCCATGACTGCCTCGTACACAGAAGGAATTTGAGGTCCTGCTGTTAGCTGGCAGCTGCTGGGCTGAGGACGTGGGGAGATGTTAATGATGATGGGCTTTTGCACATGGGATTTTTTTTTCTTTTTTTTCTTTTCTGGCTTGCTGCATAATTCCACCCCCCCACCCGCCCCCGTGGGTTTTTCAGCCCTGTTGTTCCACTGGTCTGAAGAATGTGGTAGTTTCACGATGAAGCCTCCCCCGCCACCCTACTGCCCTGAGACCTATTCAAAGCTGCCAAATTCAGATTACTTGTGACCGAAATGGGATATAAACCCCATTCCCTGAAGAGGAGGAGTTGTTGCAATAAACCACAAACCAAAACTGGAATAGGCAGAATTCCCAGCCAAACTGAACCCCACTGCAGTGCTATTGGAGGCAGAAGTAGAAGTAATGCAGGCAGAAATTAGCCAAATGGAAACAGCTGGAGGGTCCTCAGTTTGCAGAACTGTGTGAGAATGGAGAGTGTATGGTTGCTGTATTTTACGTCAAATGTGACTGGACTTTTGCAGATATGGATTTTGTGTCTGCTTCTGGCTGTGACTTACTGCAGCTTCCTTTTCCCATTTTTATTCAGCTCGGTAAGTTTTCAGACTGCATCTGGTGGGGCTTCCTCTTTTGGGTGTGTGGTTGCTTGAAGCTCCCACTCATTTTGGTAACGCATGCGCCCTGTGCTGTGGGCTGGAGCCAGAGGGGTGACCGGCACGTGGACAGGAGTTACCCCTTGGCATCTCTGGCCCTTTCCCAGCTCTCCGACGACTCCCGTCTGTTCCCTGCAGCTCCGGGTGGCAATGAGGTTTCCATCGCTAATGAGGCAAGGCTGGTATTTGACAGTTTTGTAAAACACAAATGGTTGCCACTGAACGGTCATGACTTTAAAGAATACGACTGTCTGGCAGCAGGGAAAGGGAATGCAACCTGCTGCCGCGGGCAGCACAGTGGAGTATGTTTTGGAAAGCATGCTTATTTACTAGGAAGGGCAGGGGCCAGGAGACACAGGTAACTTTAAAATAACACATAGAGTGAGTGCAGTGTCATACAGATGATGTTTCTGTAACACGTGCATGGCAGGGAGACTTACATCAATAGACGCAAGTGCTTCTTTGGAGAGGCCTCGATAGTAACTTCACCTGCTGCACTGTGACTTTCCCTGCCTGCGAGAGGGGAAAGTAATGCTCTCCAAAGGGTGCAGTTTCTGCTAAATCTAACCCAGCTTCCCCTGCAGCCAGTGAACACAGTTTTAGACAAATAATGTAGAATTAGAGCTCGTGGCTTTGCCACAGAGTCTCTGTAACATTGTGTTGGTTTACTCAGCCTTAACGGTTTACAAAGTCTAGTAACACAAAACCACACGCTGGTGGCCTGCGTCTGTGTGGCTGTATGTACCCTACAGATAGTGAAAGTACGTGGAGTCAGCTCCTTCCAGGCTTTATTAAGATTTGTTTGACCACCTCTGTTCGTAAGGTCTGATTTCTTAAACTGTCCCTGCTTGGGGCAGGTGGAAATCCAGATTATTTTAAACAAGCAAAGTATATACCGAACAATTTTGCATCCAAGGCTTGCACAGAGGAATCAACAAGAACGACTGTTCTGCGCGTTAAGTTACAGCTTTGTAAATCCACGTTTGCGCAGGGCAGAAGTCCGCTCTGGCGCTGCAGAACAAGCGGAGGAGTCCATCTCCCCTCCTCGGCGAGGCCGTCGACCTCCGTGGGGGCCAGCTCAGCCTTCTCAGTACACCGTGCACCAGTTGCTGCCGTCGCTGGGCATCAGCCCACCGGTGATGAGGAGAATCAGATCCACGAACCACCAGATCCCCAGTCCTCCCAGCGTCAGCAGTTTCCCCACAGCGGTCCCGGTGTGGCCCAGGCAGAACCGATCCACTCCGAAGCAACCCAGGAAAAACGAGTAGAGCAGCGTGGTTATGAAGTAGTGCCCAGTGTACCTGTAATGGAAGGGGTCGGGGGCGGGGGGGGTGCAGGGGCCCGGGTAAGCCGCCGGTTCCTTACATCGGGGCTCCCTCCCGTGGGGGCCGGGAGAGGCGCAGGGCCCGGGAGGAGGGGATGGGGGTTGTGGGGGGGGGACAGGGGCCCTCCCGCCCCCCCCGGAGAGCGCATCCTACTTGACGCAGGGCCTGCTGCCCCGCAGGAAGCTCCGCGGCTCGGCGCACTCGATACCGTCCAGCGCTCGGCACTGCACCCGGGTGCGGTCCACCTCGCCGTAGGCCTGTCCGCCGAACTGTAGGCAGAGCGGATGCCCTCAACCACCGGCAGCGAGACCCGGGGACCAGGCCGAGCCGT